AGTAAATCCTATTGATGTAAATCAACAAATTTAAAATCATATAAACTTTTGTAATTCAGATTTGATACTTTAAAACCATGAACAAAAGCAAATAAAAACGAACTTAGAGGAGAAATTCTCTTAACAATAATGCCATCTTCTAATATTATTTTTCTTTATTAAATTTCTACTAATTTTATATTAAGTTAGGAATAGAAATTCTACCTTCAGAGAATGTAAAATCACAATTTTATATCTTAAAAAGTTGATTCCAGATAAATAAAACAAGTATATTGTGTTTGATTCTTAAAGAAGAATTTGTGAGTAATTAAGGTTACCATTTTACATGTTATTAAAATCTAAAATAAGCTATTTTTTGGAGGGTAAATTAAAATAACGATGAAAGAAGAATTGGCAATTTTTCAAAACATTACATTGTTATCTAATTACAATTTATTTTTCGCATTTATTACTTTACTTTAAGATTAAATCGTATTAAGCTATACTCCATAATATATTTTTTCAAAGTTAGTTTATTGAAATCTACTTTCTATTTACAATCTCCTACAAACCTTGATTACTAATTTTCCAATTGCTACCTATCAAATTCATTAAATTTAAAAATTTTACTAGTTCTACAGAACAATTAAAAACTTAATTTTTTCATATTTTATAAAGTAAAAAAATAAGTAAATTTAGTATTTTATAATATTTAATAGCTGAACCTCAAAAATAACATTTTTTTTCATCCCAAATGCACATAAAATTAATAGAAAATATTATTTTGATAAAAATTTTTAAAGTTAATGGGTTTCAATTATGTATAATCTTCAATTTCATTTCTTATTCCTTTAGAAAATTAAATGCTGAACCCTCTCGCTTGTTACTTTTTATCCAAAAATCATGTCATTTAGATTATTTGACATTAAGAAATGAAATTGAGAATAAAAGAAAAAGTCTTATGTCTTCTTATGAATTAATTAAATGAATGTATGCAGGAGATATCTCATATGATGAGTAATTTTAATATTTATTATCCCAAAATACTAAATATTATCCATTATTGGTCATCAGTTTAACAATTTAATGATGCAATGATGTTAAATGTTGCATCGTTT